CTCTGAGCTCTGGGTAGGGCCAATATCCATGGGAACAAGAATTGATCAATACTCATAATCCAAGACTGAGCTATTTCTTACACTATAATATGCCCAGATATGCCTTTAAGATCTGAAAGGGCCATACTGGAAATCCAAACCCCCCAAGATCTCTTCCGGGACTGAGAGGTAGCCCAGAGCACAGGTCTGAGTGCATGTGAGAGTGTGATGTCACAGTGGACTTAGCCAACCATCACACAGGTGACATCACTTCACATATCCAGAGCAGACTGGTTTGTACAGAGAAGCCACATTTACCTTTAATGGTAAAAACAACAACAAAAAAATCCTGAAAAATAAAAAGCAAAAACAAAAACCCAACTCCAGAACCTTCAGACCACACACTGCAAGCTAAACATGGTACCTGGATTCACTGCTTGGCCTTTCTTTGGTTGGTACCTACCATACAGGACCATGGCATGCAAGTCGCATGCAAATTGTTTTGAGCAGGGTATTTCCATATTGACCAAAGCAACTCAGAATGATAGGGCACACATGTCAAATAATATGCAAATGAGCCACTTTGCTCATGCCCTCAGGGACAAAGGCATGAAAGCCAGGGAGCTGAGAGAGAACTGTGTGATGGACATCGGCTGGGGGACATGGGTCTCTCTGCACAGGAAACCGATTGAGATGCAGATGGGAATGGTTCTGTTTGTTCTTCCAGAAGGATGATGGGTTTGAGGAGTGAGGGGGTCACTCCACCTGGGGAGCTTTAAAGCATCAGCTCCTATTTTTTTTCCCTTCAGGCTTCTGGATAAGCCTTTTGAGAGACAAAGTCAATCCAGGGAGGTAACTTTTCTTTGGGTGGGAACATGATAGGCTGCAGCTGAAGTGAAAGAATGCAAAGCTTGACCCAGTGGTCAGGAGGGAAAATTTCAGACAGCCTGGTAGACTCTTGACTCAGCCTTGTGGGAAAGGGCTGCAGCTCACATCACTTTTCATCTTGGCCCTCCAGGGTCATAGGTTCTCAAATTTAGAGCTGGAAGGGATTCTGGAGGGCATAGGATCAAAGTCATTTGGTCCAACACCTCCATTTTACAGATGAGGAAACTGAGGCTTAGAGAGGTCAAGTGACTTGCCCAAGGTCACAAAGCTAGTGTCTATCAGAATTTGAATCCAGGTTTCCCTATCTATTATACCATGCTGTAAAAAAAAAGGATATGGACATTGGGCACTTTAATTAACTGCTTGCCCAAAGTAAGTTGCCAAAGGGCCATTCACAAGGTCACAATAATTCAATAACTCAATTGCCAATCCAATGAGTTAGAGACAGCATTTTGAAAGGTGTAAGTCAAAATAACACCAAAGGTAAAACAGGATTCTCTATTACTAATTAACCTTTTACTTCCTGCAAGCAACATAGATGATAAGCTCCAATTACTAAGTGCTTTTGTTTTGATTCTGGAAGTGAGTATTTATTGAAGGAAGGATGGGAAGATGGGGGCAATGGCAGAGAGTGGCCTGGTGTTTTTTTACTGTAGCTGATGCTTACTGGGGGGAAAAAAGCTTGGGATCTTGCTGAAGGACCTCACCCAGCTCCCTAAAAAATGCCCTCTAGTGATGATTGACCCAATTGAGAGCAGCCCAGCTTTGAGAGAATCTCTTCCTGAACATCCCTGTGGATGATCGCTTGGCCTTTACTTATACAGTATTAGGGAAGGAGAACTCACAACCCAACCCACTTTTGGACAGCTCTCATCATCAGGAAGGTTTTCCTAACAACAAGCCCAATTTTCTTTTTTTCCTACCCAGTACCTAATGGCTCCCAGTTCTTGCTTTTGAGGACCAGGTCTAATCCATGTCCATCAAATCCTCGAGAAAGCCATCATGCCCTGTCTCAGTCTTTTCTTGGTTAAACATTCTCCTCTCCTTAACAGAACTTCAAACAGCATGATCTTGAAGGCCTTTACCACCCTGACTGCTCTCCTCTGAATGCTTCATCTTGGCAATGTGCTTGGCAAACTGTGCTACCCAGAACTGAACTCCAGATCCTGCATGTGATCAGAGCAGGACAACCATCCTGACTCAATAGCCCGGGGTCCTGGACGTGATGTCTCTCTAAGGGCAGCCAAATGTTGCATTATCTTTTCTTTTTGTTTTCATGTTCTACTGTTGACTCATCCTGAATTGTCAGGCCCCTAAAATCCTAACATTATTTTCATATAGCATGGCCAGTCTACCCTTGTCTTTCCCTTTTTGTATTTGGGTTAAAAAAAAATCAGCTTTCAAGGGGAGGACTTTATCTATATGAAATTACATTATTTGTCTCTATTAAATTTAATATTACATGTATGTCATATGTAATATATGATATTTAATAGTTCCATTGTTTATTCATTTAATACATTTAATTTATTAAATTTCATTATTATTAGTTATCCCATCATCAAGCCTACCGAGATATTTTTGCATCCTGACTGTCCTCTATCCCTCCCAGATTGATAACATCTGCAAATCTGATAAGTCATTTTGGACTTTATTCATATCATTGGTAGAAATGTTAAATAACACTAAGCTAAGGCAAATCTGTAAGGCATTCCACTGGAGACCTCCCTTCAAGCTCACATCCCATCATCAATAATTACTCTTTGGGTCAGTCCACACAGAATTGTCCTGTAACAGAGAGGCCTTGACTCCTACACCCCAACCCTAACCTGAAGGGCTGCTGCTTAATGACCTGATTGGTCTGGGAGATGGTTGTTCTAAAAAGTTCCCAAGCTAGAGAGACTCTGGGTTCTGAGGAATAAAAAAGAAATATGGCTTCCTTCTCCTTGTTTCATGTCTCTAGATCATCTAGTCAGGGGAGAGTATGTTCCCTAGTCCTCCTATATCCAAATTCCTTCATATTCCTGGCATTCTATCCTTAGAGAAGTTTGAGGGACTAGGACATTCTTTTCCACCACATAGTCCTGCCTAGTTGCTGCTAGGGTCTCCCTCTGAATCAACACAGGCTCTTCAGAGAGTGGCTCAGAACCCACTCATCCGTCCTCTTCTCTGACTTCAGCCCTACAACCGTAGAGGGGGCTGGGAAGACAAACCTCTGCAGAGATCCCTCAGGGCAATAGCCGGGGTTGCTAACGGCATACCTTGTACCTCAGTCTCTCCCACAGTGCCTTACAGTGTCTGAAATTCCATCATTATCCTCTCTGGACTGATGCCTTTTTTAAAATGCGGACAGTCCTTGGAGAGGTAACACATTAGGTTCACTTATCCCTTTGGATAAATGAATTCATTAGAAGCTTTCCTTCCATGATAGGAGAGACCAAGGCACACTGGACCTGGGGTGAGGGATGGAGGGTGAAGGAAAGAAAGTATGTGGGAAAGGTCACTATGCGAGGAGGAGAAGGTACTGAAAACAAACCTTCCTGATTTTGCAACAAGGCAATTCCCCTTTCCTCCCCTGTTTATTAAGGAGTCAAATAGTTTTTCTGCTTTTAGCCCATCTCCACCTGGTGGCAGAAGAAAGAACTGACCCACAGTGCCAAATCAAATACTCCTAAGCAATGCTGGCCCTTGGGCTCAGATTTTTCTGCAAACCATGGAAAGAATAAATTTTTTCATTTGAGAGAAAGGAAACCGAAGAAAGTCCTAATGGGGTTTCTCCCCAGAGACACCGCTAGAGATTCATCATCTAGCCCAGGGATTCTTAACTTTGTGTGTGTGTGTCATGGGCCCCTCTGGCAATCCAGGGAAACCTATGGACCCCTTCTCAAAATAATGTTTTTAAATAATTGAACAGAACACTAAATTTCAGTTGGAGGTAAATGAAAATAAAATGTTGCTTTTTCTCCCCCATCCAAGTTCAAAGTCCCTGGAAACCTGTTTCCCAGGTTCAGAACCCCTGATCTAGCCCATAAGATGTACCTCCCTCAACTTTCAGTTCTGTGCATGTTGACCCCTGAACCCGTACTAGTACCTCCTGTGAAAACGTCTGCAGATTATGTGGAAAACCCCTGCCCTAGGTCCTGGTCATAATCTTCAGGCCTCTCTTCTCATAAGCTTTCAGGCCAGGGTGGAGACTTCCAAACAGTCCTTACACTCAGCCCTCCCTGCCCACTGGCCTCGTACCCTCTGAACTACTCCTCCCTGGGATCTAGAGAAAGTTGTTCAAGGTTTGTCTGTCTCTTATTTAGGCAGAGCCACTTGACTTCAGTGAACATGCTGACTTCATGTCTGAAGTGGGTCAGTGAGTGTTGATCTCTGTAAGGACCATGAAGAGAATGAGGTTATCCCCCATTTGAGACATAGGAAGTACTGTTAGGAGGAAGGAACAGCAATAAGAGTGGTGGTGAGGGGCACGTTTTGATCTTTTTTTTTTTTTTAAAGAATTCCTGTTGGTTCTGAGCATTTACAGGAGCCCAAGACACTGGCCTGCTCCCTTCCCTCCCCCCATAAAAGTATGCCTCTGACTTCCTAAATAAGGTCCCCTCCCTCCCACAAGGGCGACAGTCACCAGGGAAGAAAAGAAATAGAAGAAAGAGACATACTGGAGAAGTTGACCATTGCGAACTGCTGACACCTGTCCCCGGTGTATCCCACAGGACACCTAACAAAAGAAAGAAAACCAGAAAGAGAGAACCAGGATAGCAAGACATGGGCATCTCAGCAGCCCTGCATGGCTCCTGCCCATGCCAGCTCCAATCCTTGCCAATGTTACCACTTGTCCTGGCCTTGCCACTCTATCCCCTTACCTGCAACCCTAAACTTTCAACCCAAGAATTAGGCCAAAAATGAAAAACAAAAACAAAAACAAAACAAAACAAAACAAAAAAAAATAAGGCAAAAAACAGAAACAGAAACAAACAAAAAAAAAACAACAAAAAAAACAGCCAAAGATCATAACAACCAACACCCCTGGTCCTAGTACCCTACATGGAGGCGGGGAGAGGGGAGGGGTGGAGCTGCACCCAGGAACTTTCTAAGGGAGGGGGGACTTTTGTTTGTGTCTTCAAACATACTTTGCTTAGGATCTGGCATGTACAATCGCAAAGGCAGTTTCTCCAAACATCTCTGTCCGAAGAATCCATTTGGACATCTGGAGAAGGAAAAGGGGACAAATCACAGAACAAACCGGAATCATCCACGAGGCTAAGGTTAGAAATCAAAGTGCATAGTGATGAATGAGAAAAAATCAAGTTAGGCACTCGGTGTCACACCTGCAGCAAAGGGGGCCAGGGGAGGGGGAAGGAAGGGAGTTGGGTCGGGGAATCTCATGGGTGTTTGAAATTTCATTTTCCATCCTGCTAACAGAGGCCTCTGTGTTTTCCTAGGGAGATAACTGAAGAGATTGCTACTCTAGGGTTTCCTAAAACTTTCCTGGGGGATCTACGGGTTGGGGATGGGTAGGGAGACTGGCATGGTGACATTCATGAATTGGTGGGTGTATCAGGGGCAGGAGCCTCAGGAAATGCCCAGTGTGGGGACAACATCCCTTTGCCTCCTGTTTTGTCACCCTCCTTATAAAACTGCTCTGAGATTGGGGGTCTCTTTACCTAGAATGGTTTCCAGAAGAAATTTCCAGAGCCAGTGGCTATAAGAAAAGTTGAGTCTAGGAGAAGGGACGTGGAAGAGCTGATGAAAAACTACCCTCAGCTGGCCAGAACAAATACACCTTGTGCTTCATTGGGGTGTTCTTTTTGTGATCTGTCACTAACCCTGGACAGCTGGTTGGCCATTGAGGAATGGGAATGGGCTTGTTGTAGTCCTGCAAGGATATAGGTTCACTGGAAGGGTTGGGCAAGCCCCTGACCTACTGGCCTCCTTGGAAACCCTGCCTTTGCTTTCCTCATTTACCTACATCCTTATCACCTTTGGTTCTAGCTCACTTTCCTCTCTGGTAGTACCCCAAGGGCACCCCTCTGACTCCTCTGTGACTACATAATATGCTCCATAATATGTCTCCATAATATGCTTTTCTGCTCTCTGGCTGCTGCTTCCTATCCCTCTGGCAGGAGACTCCATCCTTGCAGGTTTTAAAGGGATGGTCACATTAATCTGATTCCTATCCTTTGGCTCTCAGAAAGTCTGGGAACACACTGGGAGTTCTAGTTGTACTTTCCCCCTGACTAAGGTTGGTTTTATGCTCTTCCATCTTGGATCAGTCACCCAACTTTGCCCTGGGACCTGAGCACCAGAGTATTACAGTCTTCATGTTTAAGTTTGTGTTTATGTTAATGGTAACAGGCTATGAGTCCAACATTAGCCAGAGGGCCTGGAAAATGTCTAGTTTCAGACAAGAAAGCTTTCGAGGGGTGAGTATATCTTTGATTTTGCGGCAGACATGGTAAGTTACACTGAAGATGTTTTAGTGTTTTGGTTTATTCTAACCATTATCCAATTATCTAGCCCTTTAGGCTAAGACACAAATCCAACAGAAAGCCTTGAATCCAGCCCAGCTAAAAAGATGAGGTCTCCCCCGGGCAGCGAAGAAGAATCAGTGGAGGCAATAAGGCTGGAAAAGGGACCTCTTGGGTTCCTTCAGGATGTCAACTGCCCAGGCATTCAAACACTTGCTGTTAGCCCTACCTTTATGGACAGGGGCAACAGATGAGTGAGTAGAAAGAGTCAGGGTATATGGGATCAATTAGGATTCTTTGTATTTGAATCTTCAATCCTACCAAACCTGAGGCCTCAGAACACTTTGGAGTTGGCCCCAATTCCACAATCCCCTCCTCTGCTCCAGGAATTGGCTGGGGAGCTGTTCAGTGATGGGGATATTCCCCTTACCACCTAAGAGCAAGAATCAAGGATTTCTCATGGCCATGGGAATGGTACGGGAATTAGGAGGAAGGAAGATCTGGCCTATGGTCCTATCACAGAATGTGAGGGTTGCTTTGGAGGTTTTCTTGCACAACTTCTACCTGAAACATGACTCCTTCTCTGACCTATCTGAAGAGTGATCACTAATCAGGCCTCTGCTTGAACCCCTCCTGAGGCTGTCCTAGCATTCCACATATTGAACTCAAATCGGCCTTTTTATAAGGAAATGTTGCCAATTAATCTTAACTAGTTCTGCCCTCTGGAGCCAAACAGCATCCCTCTTCTACATAATGTCCTTTTAAATATCTGAAGATAGCTATCACGCCTCAACTAAGTCTTCCTTCTTCTTCTTGAGGCTAAATATCCCCAGTGACTTCAAATGATCCTAACATGAGAACAAGGAAGAAAGAAGGTAGCTGTTCCCTTCTAGGACACTAACTCTGATCTGGCTTCAGACATGGGACATCGTCATCTGCTGTTTTCCTTGGACAATCTATACCAACAACAGCATTTAAATATTTACCAGACCCCCAATGAAGAATGGAGTATAGGATTCTGGGTGGGGGTGGGGTATATGTCTGTGGCCTAACCTTTACCTAGACCAATACCAGGGCATGCCAGTTCCATGATAATAATATAAATAATAAGAAGAAATAAACTCTAGGTTGAGGAGGCAATTCCTATGCAACTCCTATTCAAACATGGATTTCTGCTTCCAAGTTTGGGGGCCATAGAGTATCATATAGTACAACAGCAGATCACAGCACCCATCCCCTTCCTCCCAAGGGCATCAGTTCTAAGGATGTAAAGATCAGTTCACTGACGTGGGGTGTCATCTGGTCAGATAGATGCCTGCCTGGGTTGGGGAATGGTGTATGTGTGTGTGTGGGGGGGGGTGTGTGTGCATGATGGGGATTAAGTTAGGGAGGTCCCAGGTGCTGCAAATCTGTAGTGACAGAGAGGTTGCTATTTTATTTACTGGGGTTTAGTGGAGCGAGGAAATGGAGGACCTGAGTTCTGATCCCACCATGGGCTGGCTCCAAACCCTTCCTTTCCCCCCAACCTCCCCATGCCTCAGTTTCTCCTTTTGGTAGCCTGGGGATAATGCCACATGTGCCGCTCTCCCCTTGGGGAGAAGAGGATAGAGTGGAAGGATGGATTAATGAGGGCCTACACTACAGGCACAATGAATGGGGGGCCAGTAATGAGGAGATGGGTGGACAGGAGGGTGTGTTTTTGGGGAAGGTGATCCATGGCAGCTGAGCAGGCAGATAAGGATAACACAGTGGGGGAGTACTAGGGTTGGGAGGTAGGGTAGGAAGAACAGACACAAGCTATGGGAAAAGGCAGGAATGAGCCAATGGTAGTGGTGGGGACATGCCGCTAGTATGTGCACAGGGCTGAGAAAAGAGCCTTGTTCTGTCATCATCCCCTGAACCAGTCCCCGAGATGCATGCACCAACTGTGCTCTACAAAAAAACACGGAGAGAAGAGGAGAAAGCAGCACGAGCAAGTGCAGAGGCCCTCGTCTGATGCAAAAGGGACACAAGAAACTTGTCTGAAGCCACATTTGCAAATTTCCCTCACTGCGGATTTGTAAAGCAAAATTCAATACCAATGACGATGTTTCTTTCCATCAGACTTTTTCTGGGGGTGTGGGGTGCAGGTTCTAAATTCTATAAAAACTGGTGGGGTGGAGCATGTGTGCGCTCCAGAGTTCTCCATCGTGCTCAGAACCAATATAAAAGTCAGGTAAGAGAACCAGGATGGAAACCTGACTGCAGGATCAACACAAATGAAAATGACCTGTCTAGTTTCATTATCCAAGCTGAGCAAAATGCAAAAAACAAAAGTAAACAAACAGCACAAATGGCAAGACGTTGAGTTCGATTTCCTGAATTCTTCAAATCTAAGTTACATCCAGGTGCCATTAGTCACCCCAGAGGCTGCTCGTCCTTCCCTCCCAGACAGCCCTCCCACTTCCACCCCCAGAATGGTCTCTGGGCTCTGCCCTGTGACCACCTCCACCCAAACCCCCAAGTAGAGCAGTGTGGCTTCCTCATTTCTCCACCCAGAGGACTAACTCTATGAACAGCATAGTCCTAAGGATGGATTCTGATGTTCAATGATTCCTTCCATCCATGTGAGCAGCCCATGCTCCCCACCCCCAGCTAGGGCAGGCCAGGGCTAGGTCAGAAAGGGAGCCAGCCTGGTTGTATACAGTGAACGGCCCATTGGGCTGGACTAGGCTGGGAGGTGTTTGAGAAATCTGATTTTTCCAAATCATGCAGCCTGGTGGGGCTGAGTATAAGGTGAGGACATGAGCTAGCCTTTATCTATAAGGTGGCATGGAGTGGAGGGAGCTGAGGTCTTGAGATTCAATAAAGTGAACCTTAATTCCTCCAAGTCTGGCATCTGAAACACTGCCCATGGCCTGGAGGCGGGGGTGAGGGTAGGGAAGGTAATGCTGACCTGGGGTAAGAAGAGGATGCCTGTTCTCCAACCCACTCTGTCTTAGCCTGAATACTTTAGGGAATGTGGCCTTAGTGTTAGAATCCCTATTGACTCCATGACCTTCACTCCTTGGACCAACTCTTTTCCACAGCTTTGGCCATTCCAACCTATGAACAAAATCAAAGGGACTCATTTTGCCCCTTGGGTCTCCCTAGACTTTAGTACTGAGGGGTTGGGAGAAATAGGAAAGAGACTAGAGACCTGCCCCAAGTGACTTTACCTGTCTAAAGGGCAAGGGTTCGGTTCCTATGACTTTTCCAGACCCCTTCCAGCTTATGAGTTTAAATGTCACAAGGACAAGGCATTAGAGTTGTGGGACTACTTTTCACCTACTCCCTTTATCCTTTCGATAGAGCCCTATTGTCTCTGTGACCACCTCCACCCAAGAACAAGGCCCCTATTGGCCCCCCCAGAGCATAGGCTAAGCATCCTGGTGGGTGTCTCTATCACATTCACTCCAAAGAGCTCAGAGTATTATACAAACTTGAATGTTTTTAGCCAGGAAGCCTTCCTGTTCCTCCAAAGCATCCTATCACTACCATCACCATTACCATATACCTTCTGGCTTGGAGGGAAAAAAAGAAGTGGAGCCTGGGTTCAGGGCTTGGAACTACTCTCTCTGCCTAAGCCTAGTCAGAAGGTAACAGCTTTCTTGGTCACCGATATTTCAAGGCCAGCCTGTTGGGTCATGACCTTCAGGGGGGTAGGCAAGTGCTCCAGAGAGCCTCCCAAATCTGGTTCAGGTGGACAAGCCAAGCTTCTTTGCCCCCAAACCATCTTCCAGAGTTTAACTTCCCTGTCCAAATCCTAGCTTCTCCTACTTTATGCCATAGTCTGAGTTCAGAGCTGGTTCCATTGCTCTCCCCCTTTAGCTGGGTTTCTCCCTTCCACGATGTCCTGATAATCTGAGGACAGGAGGTTTTGGTCCTTCCCCTTAAGTTGTCTTTCTATTCCTGATGGAAAAGAATATTCCAGAGAATATTGTAAGCAGGGAATTCTCTGTTCTAGAATCAGGCACGCTGGGACCATAGTATTCCTAATTGTTCCTAATATGTTTTCTTCTGACCATAAACTGGTTAAGGAAAGGGAAGAGGTATCAGAATGGGCCTTACACTCAAAACCTTGAGAGATCAGGGTCAAAATTAGCTCCAGAGGACAAGTGGAGGGCACTGGTCCCAAGGGCTTCTGGTCTGAGAGATTGGTCCACGGTGCACATCTCCAACAGGCCAAGGACCTCCCTGAGTAGTTGCTTGTCAAACCACTCCATGTGCTGGCAACTGGGTAATGATAATAATAATAATAATAATAATAATAATAATAATAATGATGATGATGATGATAACTAGCATTTACATAGCACCTACTATGTGCCAGGCACTATGCTAGGCACTTTATAAATGTTATTTCATTTGATCCTCACAACAAACTTAGGAGGTAGCTGCACTCTTATCCCCATTTTGTAGCTGAAGAAACTGAGGCTAACAGATTAAGTGACTTGCCCAGGGTCATATACATAGTAAGTATCTGAGGCTGGATTGGAACTCAGGTCTTCCTGATGCCAGGTTCAGTGATCTATCCACTGTGCCACCTAGCTGCCTCCCTAGCAGGATGTATGGGGAGGTGTGGTGTGAAGATGGGACAAAACTTCTTAACTAATGCATGGAGATAGAAGGGCTCCCTTAAGAACCTGCCTTCTTGTATACTTGCCCTGCCAGGCTCTGCCCCAGGCAAAATCTCTTTTTTCTTGAATGGTGGTCACTTGTTCTTGGGGAGTATAGATCAATTTATATCTAAGTCTGAGAGCTAAGGTTGGGGTGGGGGAAGCAAAGACACAACCTTAGCCTTCCTGTGACAGGCCTTGGTGGCATGGATTTAAATCATGTCCCATAGTTCTCTCTTTCTTGCCACACTCCTGATGCCCCTATCCAGATGTTTCAAATGTGGTAAGACTTCCCCGGTGACAAATTTGGACCCCTCACTGGTACCTAAGGCTAGATCTAAATGTGCAATCCGTTGCTCTAAAACTCAGACTTCTCTCACTTATTCTCTGGGCTATCCAGCCATGAGCCTTAACCAAGATGTAAGCAGGCAAAACTACTAAATAAAGTGTTGGAGGACTAGCTTCTCAGCCAAAAGCTTCCCTTGATATATTGACTGGGGACCCCCTCCCCCCAAATAAAAGTCCTCCCTGTTTCTCTGGGCCTCCGTGACTTCCCAATCCATCCCTGGCCTGACTTGTGTGCTATGAGCTCCTTGGAGATCTGTGTTTGAGAGACACCCTCTGTGCTGAGGCTAGTGCTGTCAGTTCAGAAAAGAGGACACTAGCCAAAAAAGCCAGTTGAGGATGAGGCTAGGGAGGGGCAAGGCTCAGGTCATGGACTAAAAGTCCTTTCCCTTTTCTTCTTTCTCAGCATCCCTATTTTCCCATTCAAAATGTAGCCCCTTCTCTCAGGAAATATCCAGGTCAGTTTCCAACATGACTCATGCCCCAGTGGGAGGTTGACTTTACTGACCCTTGGTCCTTTTGTCCCATCCCACATATACAGATTGGGGTGGGGGTTGGGCATCTATAGTGGTCAAGTGGCACTATAATTATTAGGCCACTCTCCCTCCCTTCCCTCCCCTCCCCGCCCCTCTGCAGTAAATACAGGGTGAGGGACCCTTCCTCAAGCAGGGAAGCAACCAGGAGATGCAGATTCTGGTTACTGGAACTCTCCCTGCTCCTTCACTTCTGTGCTAATGACTCCCTCTTCACCTCTAGGGAGAAAGACACCCTAGGGCTTATCAAACACTCAGCAAGAGCAAAAGGCAACAGAGATGCTGAGATAGAGGCAGAAAGAGAAGAGAGCTATATAGAGAAAGACACTGCCCACATGGGGAACCCAGGGGCAATCCTACGGGGGATGCCCTACTGAATAGAAATCAGTGGAAGAGGAATTCAGGGAGGGAGGGAAGAAAAGGGAAACAGGGACTCCAGGAGCCCTGAGACCCACATGTGACACAGACATCTCCCCAAGCTTCCAGGAGGAATCTCTGGCTGGGTGCAAAGGGACCAAGGGATGAATCCAACCTACCTCTGAATCCCCACCATGGATATACCAACAGCTGCTTTGAGCTGACCCTCAGCGGGGAGGGTAAGAAAGCCCTTAGGGCTTGCCCAGCACCACTTTTGGAGACCCTCCCTTCAATGCCCCACTACACAAGCTCCTGGCCTCCCTTCCTCTCCCCTACACCCCCTCAGCGCCCAGGCACCGCCGCTCACTTACTTGCAGGACAGCTGATTGATGCCCTCAATGTAGTAGCAGACGCCACCATTGACACAGTAAGACTTGGCAGTCTCATTGCATTTCCGAGCATGTCCAGACCATGACGAGAGGGTGGTGGCCACTAGAAAGAGGAGAAATATAGAGAATTGTTACTGTAGCTCCCCTTCAGAATGCATCAACTCAGGAGTCAGCTAGGGGTAGGGGAAGAAGGAAGGAAAAAAAGCATTTATTAAGCACCTATTATGAGCTAGGCACTGTGCTAAGTGCTTTACAGATATCTCATTAGATCTTCACAACAACCCTGGGCTGGAAGGGTGGTGCTACTATGCCATTCTGGGCAGGTCACTTAACCACTGTCTGCCTCAGTTTCCTCATCTGTCAAATGAGGGGATGGGCTTCTCAATGGGTGGAGGAGGGGCTGGAGAGGGGGCGAGAAGTTGGAACTGAAAATAAAAAGATCCTCCCATTCTCATCCCCCCATTTTACATTTGAGGAAACTGAGGCAGACAGAGGTTAAGTGACTTACCCAGAGTTCACACAACCAGTATATGCTAAATGCACGACTTGAACCCAGGTCTTCCTAACACCAGGGCTAGCTCTTGAGCCACTATAGCCCACTGATTCTCAATCACCTCTTTACTTGGTGATACACCTTCCCTTTGTCATGGGATCACAGATTTAGGCTGAAAAGGGCCTTGGAGGTTATCTCCAGGCAGCTGGGTGGCATACTAGATAGAGCACTGGCCTTGGAGTCAGGAAGACCTGAGTTCAAATCTTGCCTCAGACACTTAGTAGTTGTGTGATCCTGGGCTAGTCACTAATGTCTCTCTGTGCCTCAGTTTCTTCATCTGTAAAATGGGGATAATGATAGCACCTACCTTCCAAGGTTGGTATGAAGATCAAAAGACAACCCATGGAGAGCACTTTGCAAACCTAAAGTGCTATATAAATTCTAGCTATTATTACCATGATATTTAATCATTGTTTTTGTCATTCAGTCATTTCAGTCATGTCTGACTATTTGTTATCCCATTTGGGGTTTTCTTGGCAGAGATACTGAAGTGGTTTGCCAGTTCCTTCTCCAGTTCATTTTACAGATGAGGAAACTGAGGCAAACAAGATTAAGTGATTTGCCCAGGGTCACACAGTTAGTAGGGGTCAGAGGCCAGATGTGAATTCACATAGATGAGTCTTCATGACGCCAGGCCCAGCACTCTATCCACTTGGCCACCTAGCTATCCCATTATTGTTGATACTTTATTATTGTCATCCTTATCTAGTCCAACCTACTCATTTTACACAGCAGAAAACTGCTTTCTGGAGAAGTTAAAGGATTTGTTCAAGGTCACACAGGAAGTCAGTGGCAGAACCAGGAATAAACCCGAGACCCTCTGACTCCAAACTCAGTGTGCTCTCCAGTGCCCCATGCTGCCTCCTGCTAGCCTAGACAGAACTAGCAACTCTGATATCTGACCAACTTTCCCAACTGAAAACACCTTAGCTCTTCACTGCTCCCGAGGGGCTCCAAATACATAAACAGGGCCTGTGTATGCTTCATTTTTTATGGTACAGGGAGGAGGTTCTCAGATTACTACACGAGAATCTTGTATCTCATCCTCCTCCCATTCTCGCCCCCCAACCTGGTCCTTTCCCCAAAGAGGTATGTACTCCATCTGGGGAAGCAGCAACAACCTCAGGAGGTCCGGGTTGGAAGTCCTTGGGGCAAGTGTGACCATTTTCTCTCTCATTCTCCCGCCCAGACCTCCACCTAATTCTGTGGAAAGCTTCCCCAGGGTGCCTTTAAGGGAAACTACTAGAAACAACCCTTTGTAATGAAGCTGTTTGTTCCCTTAAGGGCCAGCTCTTCAAGGCCCTCCTTCCCAGGGAGTGCTCAGGTGAGCTCCACAGGTAGAGCCAGATGGAGTAAAATGAGGTCATCTTGGGATACAAGAGGCAGACATCTAAGAACAAGTCTCATTCTAATCAGAGGGGCCAGGGTCGCCAGAGGAACAGGAGCTTAGTAGATGACGGGGATGGGAGTGCTAGAAGGAGCTGGACGTCCAGGAACTCTACTCCCTCAATCAACGAGCCCAAAGTCTGGGAGCAGCAATCTGCTTGCTAGAGCCAATTTCTTCAGAAAAGTGTAGGGAGATGCTTAGGAGCATCTCTCTCTCTCCTCAAACAGAGATGGTTTACCCATAAAGTAAAAACTGCTTTCTTATCAGCGCCTCTTCTTCTAAGGGGTTTTTATCCTTGGCATATCCTCCTCCCTCTCTCCTGGCCCAATCTTCCTTGGCCCTCCAGCATTATTTGATATAGGCCTACACCAGCCTTGGCCATAAATCATGAGGCTCCAGGGAGGCCCACGGCAGAGACAGGAACTCAAAGGGGAGGGAAAAGGGGCCAGCTGTGATATGAAAACAGGCTGAGGGGAAGATTTGGTTTTTAATGCATCTTCGTCCAGGATATACATCTTACTTTAACAGAAGGATGCAGAGAAATAGCCTTCCAAACTAAAGTGGTGTCCCTAGATGCCTGAGATTGAAGTCAGGGGGCATCCACAAAGTCAACATGCAGCTAAGAATCTCTCAATCTCTCTCTCTGTCTCTCCCTCTCTGTCTCATTCTCTCTCTCCCCCTCCTTTCCTCTCTTTCTCTTTCCCTTCTTCCTTCCTTTTCTCTCTCCCTCTCCCCCTTTTCTCTCCCTCCTTCCCTCTCTTTCTCTCTCTCTCCCTCCTTCCCTCTTTCTCTTCCTTCTTCCTTTCCTTTCTCTTTCCCTGTCCCCCTTTTCTCCCCCTCCTTCCCTCTCTCTTTCTCCTTCCTTCCCTCTCTCTGTCTCCCTCCTTCCTTCCTTCTCCCTCTCCCTCTCCTTCCCTCTGAAGTTTCTCCCCACCTCAATCTCTCTCTTGCTTTCCTCCTTCCCTCTCTGTCTGCCCCTCCCCCCATATACACATTCTCATCATTGTCCATGATAGAAGAATTGACAAGGAATAAGATCAGAAAGGGCAATCAGCTTGTTTTCTGTCCAGCTCTCAGGTGCTCTGTGGGCTTTAAGCAATAGTCTGATGGCCCATGCAGCTACATTTTACCTTGGCTTGGCCACTTTCAATCAGCTGCGGGGTGTTAGATTTCCCCACAGGATGCAGTCCTTGGTTCCTTAGTGTTTAGACATTTGGGGAGATGGATGGACTGAGTGGGCCTGGGATTATATACATAGCCTTTAGTCTGTATATGTATGACAAACTCATGGATAAAACTCAGCATGTCAACTCTCCAGTTTTTGAACCTCTCCTTGTGCACCACAGAGGACCCCAAACCTGGATATGTTTCTAGTTGCCACCCCTGAGATCTAGGAATTTCCCCACCCCATCCCTGGCACCCTGCAGTGCTTCTCAGACCAAACTCATGCATCAGGAACTTGCCTGGACACATCAATCTGGAGGAGCCCTCTGCGTTGCTAGGCTCTGGTCAAGGAGATCTAAGTGAGTGAGAGCCAGGGGGTGGTGATGAAAAGACAGAGAAAAAGAAATATGGAGAAATGTCCACCTAAGAATCAGGCATCATAAACTAAAATTGTGTCTCGTTCAATCCCCTCATTTTTACAGATGATGAAACTGAGATTAGGTGATGTACCTACGTTCACACAGGAAGGAAGCAGCAAAGCCAGCATTTGAATTCAGGACTTGATTCCAGGTAGGGCAGCTAGGTGGTGAAATGGATAGAGTGTAGGGCCTGGAATCAGGAAGACTCATCCACATGAGTTCAAGTCTGGCCTCAGACACACACTAGCTGTGTGACTCTGAGCAAGTCACTGTTTGCCTTAGTTTCCTTATCTGTAAAATGGGCTGGAGAAGGAAATGGCAAACCACTCCAGTATCTTTGCCTGGAAAACCCCAAATGGGGTGATGAAGAGTTGGATGTGACTGAACAACACAAAAAAAGCTTGACCCTAGATGCAATGTTCTTTCATGCTGCTTTTTTCTAGGCTCATAGAATGTTAGAAATGGAAGAGACCCTCGAGGTTTTCTAGTCCAATTTCTTCACCTTACAGAAGGGGAAACTCGGTTCTAGAGAGTCAAAGTGATTTGCCCAATCAAGGTCAAAAATAAGGCAGTGGAGCCCAGAATTCTCAAAATCCTCCTCCAGTGTTTTGGGCTGTAAGTCAAATGTCACTTAAAACATCTTAATGGCATAATCTATATGCAAATGAGTGCAAACCACAAACAAATACCACCTCCTTCCCTCTTCTCCCACCCATACCCACACCCAATTTCCTAGTAATAGATCTGGGGAAGTGTCTCTGCCACACCTCTTTTGTTAGTCACATCCACAGCAGAACCTGCATTGGGCTCCCTGCATACCAGTGGTCAGTTATGGCTCCCGGCTGGGCCTATGGGATCTGTTCTACAAAGTCTACAAGATGGCAAGTAGAGAAGAGAATCTGATACAACACAAAGGTGTCCAGGGCCATGTCTGCTTCTCGTAGGAGGTGAAAGTCAAACTTACAAAAAACAGACTAAGTGGAGTCAGTCAGGAAGACCTGAGTTCAACATATAGTCAAATAAGCACTTATTAAGTACCTACTATGTGCCAGAAAGCTATGCTACCTGATCTAATTTCTGTTGGAGGCAGGAGTGAAGAGTTAAACCCTTTGGGAAAACAGATGCTGGTGGCTGGACATTAGGCTAAGGAACCCTGATTGCTACATACAGGGCCATACTTTGGGCACGACAGACCCTGGCTGCAGCAAACATTAAAACAAGATGACTCTTAATTCCAGCTCTGCTAGGTAACTAAGGACACTTTAGAATGAACTCTGGATTTAAAAAAAAAAATCTGTTCCATCCATAGGCAGGCTAGATGAGCTCCCTAGATTCTCTCTAGTCCTTATACTCTGATTCAGGCATGTTTTTCTTCTGTCCCTAGCTCCAAATATATGCCTGCTACAATGCAATTATATTAAGTGAATATTATGGCTCTACTATGTGCGAGGCACTGGGGATAAAATGAGCAGCCTTTGCCTTCCAAAAGCTAACATGAACATAGCCAGGACTGAAGGGGACAAAGAGTTCTAGAAATATTTGAGAAAGGAGACGACGCTAAGAACTGAAGATGGAAGGGA